AACCCAGAGGGAGACGCACTGGTCTGCCGTCTGTGCCGCAGCCGCAGTGTCAGCCCAACCAGGAAGGCAGACAGACAAGGGCTGTTCTATCCATCTGACACTTCTGACTCTGGGCCAACACCACGCAACAAACAAGGCTGAGGCAATCAAGAAACACAACGCTGTGTTTCAAATGTTGCTTTACCAAGGATCAAAGTGTGGAAAGTGTGTGAGTTTTTTATATATAAAAAAACATGTTAAAAATGTGATCTGTGATGTTGACTTATTAAAGTAATGTTCAATAAACTGTGAAAATGAACATTTCTTTTGTATTTTAAGGGTGTTTTGTCATCAGGATGTTTAGCACAGCCGTCATAGTTGTCAAATACTGTGACATGAAGAAGTATTACCAATAAACAAAAATTCCCTCCAGCAAGACAAGATTTCACAAGCTGTATATATTCTACTTTCTGTCCTAGGCTAAGGGGAAGAAAATCTTGTAAATGAGGACACATGATACTGTCAGATTAACATTAAGGTACAGTTCACATGCCATTACAACCCCAAAACTAAAAACTATATTTTGTGACCATTACTTATGTAACCAGTTTCATTGGTGATTTCAGTCTTGCAAACGGTATTTATATAGTTCAGTTTTATAGCTCAGTAGACGTGGAAGTCGTGCCCCAGGGCACAGAGCAACAATTCAGAGAGATGGTTGTGCAGTTTTTGACTGCAGCTTCTCAAGCCAAACAGTCTGAACATGACCAGTAGCTTGGGAAGGAAGAGGGGAAAAACTAGTTCCACAAAGCTTTACTTGTCTGCACCGCTCCTTCTAGATTTCTCAGAGTTCAGACCTAAACTTGAACTTATGTAAATATGCACTTTGTCATTTGGTGTACAAACTATAACGTGGATAAAATGGTGTGCATTTAGAAACAGGACAACACACCGAAGGGAGCCATCTTTCTAAAAGGCATGTGTGACTTAAAAGCTGCCTGGCTGCCCTTACACTAACATCCACTGGGATGTGGAAAATGTGAGTCACACAGCCAGTGCAGTGGAGGTGGCTGGACGTAGTGTGTAGGATGTTCAGAGTGAGAAACATGACCGTCTGCCTCACTTCCTGTTCAGTGAAACACACTTATTCATTGCCAAAACAGACGAAGGCAGAGATAGAGGGTGGCTGGGGACTACTATGTCCTTACTGAGACAGTGGCCTGTCCCCTTTTCTCTGGTTAATAACTTACCACACACCCTCACATTCAAAGTAGGCGACTGGGGAGGACCATCCAACAAATATCTTCCCCCAGGATTACAGGCAGCTGTCCTTTGAAGAATTTCTCTGGCTGTGCCTTTGACTGTCTATCAGGAAAAACTTACTCTAGCTGAATATCGTACTACTTCATGAGCTGTGAGGACAAAACCTGGAAACTCAATAATGATTTCAAGATTAAATGAAATTACAGTACACAACAATATAATGAATAAAAAGGGTTTTGGCCCTCTGGGCAAATGCAACACCTGAACATGTGGGAAATCAGAGGCTCCAGAGAGAGTGCGAGAGAGAGACATGATGATAACCCATGGTTAGCACCTAGAACCACCTGGGGCCTGGGGGGGCAATACTCAAAGTTGCCATGCAACTTTGAGTATTGCACCATACACACATGTCATGTAAATGATGCACACCCTTAGCTGTGGCCAGCTGGCCTCACCCCATCTTATCAGATCTGACCACAGGCACCACCTTCACACTGTCACACACACTCTCTGCCTAATTATTTAACATGCACATTATAAGCCAATGTCATTGTCAATTTGTTTGCTTGGTAAAATGATGAAAAAGGACATGTTGGTGGTGAACATCAAATACACTTACTTTATCTAGTGACCTCTTGAGCTGGTAGTGGAACTTCTCCTTGACCTCATCCAGGAGCTGTTTGAGCTTCTGTTCCTCAGGTGTGCCTTGGTATTTCCTGGCCAGCTGCAGGTAACAGGGCCACTTGGCTGAATCGAAGCCCCAGTGGCAGGTCCTCTTATCAGGTGATTTGTGTGAATGCATGACAAACTTCTGTGGTGAAAAAAGCAATTGGCACTCAACACACTGGATGCAGGGTGCCTCAGGCTGAGTGTAGAACTGGGGCACGAATAGACCCTGGCACTTTCCCAGACACTGGTGCTCCACCTGGAAGCTGGTTTCACTCTCCTTCAGCAGGCCTTGGGCAGACAGTTTACCACTTGGGTCAGCGGGCAAGGCTGCTCCAGGGCGAAGCAGAGCATTGCACAAGCGCTGTGCATCCGTCAGAGTAATCAGGCCACAGGACGGCGCATTGAACGGCAGAATGCCCAACACCTTGAGGATGTGCAGCTGCTCTGCATCACAACGTGAGCAGTAGACATAGAGCTCGTCACATACAGTGTTGATTTGCTGTAGCGAGAAGTCACGAAGCACAGAGTTAAGCACTTGGGGCAGACAGAGACGCTTTTCTCCCCCAACAACAAAGCAGGAGATGGACTCCCCTTCAAGTAGTGAGTGGGTAAGTTCAGTGGAGCTATCACAGGGAACCAGCAGGGGGCCCCCTCCCAGAACTGGAGGAGAAGGTAAGGGTGGCATGCCAGCTGGAGAATGCTCGTGGCCAGTACGAGCTGAGAAGGCAGCCGGGCCCCCAAGAGAGCTCTGGCTGCTGAGAGAGAATTGGGCCAGGGTGTGTTTAAGCCCTGGGCTCAGGTCCAAGGCTTTAGCACAGCCCACCAGATGTAATTCAGCTCTGGCCGCCACATCCATATTGGAGTTTTGGCACAGATCCTCAGTCTGCTCTCTCTTCACTTTGGGTGTTTTCGGGACTGCATCCAGGCTGCGACGCTTAAGGTTGATTTCAGCCATGACACGCTTCTTGATGGGTGCGTCTTCCAGTCGCTCTCTGTATAGTCGTTTCATGTTGCCCTTAAATGAGGTCAAATCTTTGAAAGGGGTTTTCATACTGGTCTGGGTACTGGCCATGCCTGAGCACTTGGTTATTGACGTTTCTGGCCACTGACTAAACTCTTATGTTCCACTTTTCACCCCCTCCTTATGTCTTTAAATTGCACAAATCTTCTGGTGGTTATACACATGCATGTTGGGGACTGGGACTTTCGGAATTCAGATGTACTTCCTAGGAAAAGAGAAGAGAATTAATCAGATTAAAATATTTAACACATTTTAACC